ACGGAGCTCTAGCCGCGGTCACTTGTGAGTTAAAGTGGCTCAAGAGTCTACTTGGTTCTCTTGGGATTGAACATTCGAAGCCTATGACCATAAAGTGTGACAGTACTGCCGCATTACATATCGCAGCCAATCCTGTTTTCCATGAACGTACGAAGCACATCAAAGTCGATTGCTATTTTGTTCGAGACGAACTACTGCGAGGAGTCATCAAGACAGATCATGTTTCCACTACACATCAGCTAGTTGATATGCATACAAAGGCACTGGGCAAAGCACGGCTTGAATTCTTGATTCCCAAGTTGGACATTTCATTGCTACATGCTCCAACTTGAGGGGGGGTGTTAGAGAAGGAAAAGGAATATTAGAATATTAGTCTTTGATTTGTATTAGACTTGTATATGGTAGCTTCCTTTTATTTAGCATTCCTAATCCTATTAGGAATACCTTGCTGTATATATATACTCCCCATTGTATTGTAAATAACCAAGAGAGAATACAATAGTTTTTCAGCCCAGAAACACTACTACGTAACACGAAGTTAAAGATTAAAATTCAAAAATTAGTGAATCCAACCCTATATCCAAAAAATAGGAAAAATGCAATATTGCACCCCAAGATTTAATCATTGAAATAGATAAACAAAATCAAATCATCTAAAATCAAAAGGTTAGAAAAAGTTTACTCAAAACACATCTTTGGGACATTTTGTCAAACATATAGCTTGCAATCTTTGCTGGTGTGACTTGTGGCTAATTGAGCACCATCCGAAGCACGAAGAACCTTAGCAATGGTATTAGAATCCATCTGCATCAACATGGCTGGGATGAATCTATCAGCACGAAGTAAGATGCATTACAAGATCGGTACAATCAAATTTGTATAAATAAGTAATTGGCCTTCATATAACCTTTTAATTTAGACAACGAATCAGGGGAGAAAAGTAAGAATCCAAACATAAACGAAATTCTAAATCTAGATTTCAATTGAATGCCAATAAAAAATATCAGATGCTCAAGATTTAGTCGAACCCCCACTCCAAGAATATATGGCCAAACGAAATTCTTGATTCAAAAACTAAAAAGATAACATACCTAATATCATTGTAGAATCTATGGGATATATTCTCCTTTGAACACTACAAGATTGATTGCCATGGTGTTAGACGGATGAAGAAATGGAAGGTGCAAGTGGATTGTGCGCATATTTTACGGATACATAAAAAAGGAGAGATAGACTCATCGGTTCAAAAGTCTAAAATGCCCTGTAAGTGAAAACGGATAAATCCTACAAATACATCTAGATCTAATGGCTGTGACACATTCTTATTTCTTTCATAAGATTTCATTCTCACCGGAATCAAAACCTATATATATGTGTGTGTGTGTGTGTGTCAGACTTCTCTCTTCTCAAAGTTTCCTGTTTCCAGCTAGTGTCCACGATTCCTCTTGTTTCAGCCAGAGTTTAGCTTGAGGGGGATGTTAGACAATAATACTAATAGTACTTTTTGTAGTATTGGGTATGATAATGTTTCATTATTAGTCAGCTTCCTAATCCTATTTGTGGTAGATGTTGTATTTTAGTTAGACTTCATTCTTTATTCCTAGTTGTGTTAGGAGTCTCTCCTATATATACTTTATCATGTACTTCATAATTCAAGGAGTAATATTATTATTCCAATATTTCAACAATATATATATATATATATATATATATATATATATATATATATATATATATATATATATATGATCATTCCTTACATAAGTACAAATCAACCCTATAACTAACAGAGGTTGACTTAGTTAATATTTGTTAATACCATTATCATTATTGCCTAACTTTGCCTTGAAAAAGAGTTTGCTAGAAGCAAAAGAAAACTTAGACACTAGAAACTGTAAATACAAAGAAGGTTGAAAGCTTAAATTGTGCAAAATATTTTTTTTAAAATGGAGAATAAAGTATTCCGTAAACACAATATGAAGTAGGGAAAAAACTATAGTGGTAGTAAAATATTAAAAATATACCAAAATAAGAATTCTATTTTTCTATTTTTTGAAATAAGAGTTAAAATATATTTACAATGTTAATCATAATCATATACATTATCAGAAGGTATTGTAAGATATTCATATACAGCACCATGTTACCATAATGCAAACTTTAACTAGTATTTTGGCCGGAGATAAAAACTTAAATCTCATACTTCCTCCGTCCTATAATGATCTTCCCATAGCACTATTCCAACATCATGAGAATTTATATTTATTTGTGTTTTTTCATGACTTATATGATAAAATAAAATATTCTTTTCACCACTTGTTTTGTTGAACTTTTGATGTAGTTTTTAAATATGTATGTTTTATTTTTTATTTCTATACCAATATTTAAATAAAATAGATTGAAAAAACTTAGGATTTTTTTCGTTTTGCGAATCGGGAAGATCATTATAGGACGGAGGGAGTATTTTGGTACTTTATTTATTTTTGTTTAGGTTGATTTCTTTATGAAATTATTATAATCAAAAGTCATGTTCCAGTCACATCAAGACTAATATGCTAGTGGCTCTTTAATAATACTCCATGCGTCCTAAAATTAACTTCCCATTTGACTTATTACGGTCTCCGATGCGACACTTTGACCATTAATATCTCAATTTTTATATAAATATATTTTATAAAAATTACATATTTCAAAACTATCTTTCAAAATGAATTTATTACTAATAAATTTATATGAAAATTCAATGTATTTTTTCTATAATAAACGGTCAAAGTTTAAAAAATTTGACTACAAAAGTCAAACAGAGAAGTTAATTTTAAGACATAGAGAATAGTTGTCTCACACACAATAGTGATTTGTTAGGTGTACCCCAAGTATGCACCATCTTTTCACAGGCATCTATTGCCTATGTTTCACACAGAGCTTGTTTTATCCACACAATAACTATATGTACGTGTAATTATCTCTGATGGTGTCAATCTAGATTTCATTAAGTGACAATTTTCTAATCGTAAAATGAACCTAACTACAACGCGGGTGCAAATGTTTGTAAGCAAAAACTCAACATAATCGTTCGAATTATCTATGAACGAAACAAATTCACTGACGATTATCTTTAGTGATGTCAAATTTAGAAATAGATGAGTTTTTCTCCATATATCCAACCACACAAAAAAACAAGAGCACATGCCAAAAAAGAGCAAACCACATTCTAAAAATGCACAAATTTTAGTTAGATGATGATGAAGAAGCACCAATTCATGTGCACATGCATACCACTTCCCATTCATTCATTCTCACCAATAGTACACATTAATTAATTACCCTAAGATGTTGTTAGGTGCAGTGGTACCTAAAAATAGATGCAGC